CTACTGTGGGAGCTTCTGCGGGAGCTGCTGTCGGAGCTTCCGTCGGAGCTTCCGTCGGAGCTTCCGTCGGAGCTTCCGTGGGAGCCTCCGTGGGAGCTTCTGCGGGAGCTCCTGTGGGATCCGCTGTCGGGGCGTCTGCGGGCAACTCCTCCGAGGGCACGTCTTCCGCCGCGATGGTTGGCAGAACTCCGCTGGGGTCAAACACCGTCGCACTTCCGGGCCCGGCGAAAGGCGCGCCCGAACTCCCCACGGCCACGCGCTGCCCGTCCGCAGAAATGGTCACCGCCGCCCCCCAGCCGCCGCGGGCGAGCCTCGGGGGCACAGAGGGGGACCACCAGGCCACGCATTCGGCGCCGCCCCACGCCGTGGCCGGCCTGCGGCCCTCAGAGCGCGCCCTGCCGCGGAGAGGGGGGGCGCAGCTGACAGCCGCAAGATACACGTAACACGATAGCAGCTGCACGCCGAGAGCGTCTCCACGCGCGGGGGGCGCAGCAAACCGCCGCAGAAGACACATGGAGAGATGGGGGGGCGGCAGGACAACGCCGATGCAGCCCGAGCTGGAGCGCGCCCGCGTCGGACGCGCCACATGGGGGGCACCTGCGCAGCACCGCTGGAGCTGCAAACTGCCACTTCCGTTCCCATCCGTTCCGCCGCAAGGGTGTCTGCGAGAGCCCCGTCAATGATACATCGACCTTTCGTTGACACGGGGGGGGCAGCTGACCACCGCAGAACACGAATGATGGAAAGTGTGTCTGCGAGAGCCCCCTCCGTGGTGGGAAAGCGCCTCCGTCTCTGCTCTCAGCGCTGCAGTTGATGACAGTGGGCGCACTTGCCGCCGAGAGTGGCGGGGAAGCTGATCGACGGTGCGACGGGGGGTGCAGCAAGCCGCAGCGTAACACGATTTGGTGGGAAGTGCGTCAGCGAGTGCCCCATCTGTGATACATCGGCCTTCCGTTGACACGGGGAGTGCAGCTAACCGCCGCAGATGACACTGATCCCTGCGCGCGCGATGCCATGAGGTCGGGCAGTAACGGCTACTGTGGATAGACGGCCCGCCACTGTTCTTTGCCCTTCCGTTGTGCCTGGGTGTCCGGGTGGCCCTTTGCCGCGCGGTGATCCCTGCACGCTCTGTCGCTTTGACCCGGGTGCAGATGCCATAGCCGAGTCCAGTCGACGTCGAAGCCCAGCACGTCGCTGACAACCCGTACGTCGCACTTGTGGCTGCGGAAGGATTCCAGGAAGAGGTGGCAGGTTTGCGGGTCGTGCCGAAGCGGGTCGAGCGCGCCTTTGCTGCCAGGCACGGACTGCTGCTTGGCAAAAGCGTGCCGGGTGCCTGTGAACATTCTTCACAATGTGACTTGGAGCCGCCTTATCGCCTCGCCGGGTGTCTCCCCGGGTAGGTCCCACTGGATGTGGTTGATTTCTGTTTTGTACAGCTGCTGTCCCGTGTCGGGGTCCGTGGGCTCTGGCCATTGGCGTGGGTCGGGCCATTGGTGCTGCCGTGTATCCTGGCCGCACGTCTCCAACGTACCGGCCTCGCTGTCCTGGCTGAAGGGCACGCAATCTGCCCGCGACCGTTCCGGCTGCACGCCTGGCGGGGTTCCGCGGGGAGAGGAGCGCCGCATGGTTGGCCGCCAGGTGGGGGCCGAATCGTCTCCGGTAGCCAGGGCGGACGCTGCCCTGTGGTGCGTGGGGAAAGTCTCCTTTCGCTGGCGTTCGCCTTCGGGCCTGTGCCCGCCGTCGCTCCCGGGTGCGTCCCCTTCGGTCAACGCAGGACTCTCGCCGGTCTCGGAAGTACCGCTGGTTGTGCCAGGCGCGTGCACGTCCGGCGCCACCGTCAGTCTACTACTGGCAGCGGCTGGGGCGGACAGATCTTGCCCCCAAGTGCAAAACCAAGGAGGAGGCGAGGAGAAAGAGTAGGACAAAGGGAAAGAACTCCCCCGCAAGGTTTACGAAACACGCGAACTGGACGCTTGCGAGCGCCGCAGCTTGTAAGCACCAAAGCATGCCTGCCAGCACCACATTGTGAGCACAACGCCATACTTGAGGAGGAGCCAGCACCCCCCACGCGTACGCTCGGCAACCTTGCGGGTGGGGGGGTGGGGGGCGGCCCGCCGTCACGGACTTTACGATTTCAGCAGACTGAGAATAACAAAACATTCTCGAGCTGGGCAGGGGGCTTCTGCACGTGATCGCGCGGGCCGTGATGACGCCAGCGGCTGCGGAAGTGAGGCGCTGCGGCTGTGCAGGCGCGTGGGATGCGGCAGGGGGTAGGACACGAAAGGGGAACAAGGAGAATCACTATGAAGAGAAAGGATATAAAGCAAATGGGTCCTGATCCGCCACCGCGCTTGCAGCGATTGGTGTGCTTATGTATGTCGGGCCGCTGTTTTCCGCTATTTTCGCTTCTTGCGAAATCCGCCGATCCGGCGTGTGAGTTTCTGAGAGTTTGGACTTGAGCTCGCTCAAGCTTCGCTCTGCAGGGGGGGGGAAGGGGCACTTTATTTCCGACGTCATTTCCGACGTTTTGCAGTACACGGAGATATTTCCGACGTCATTTCCGACGTTTTTCGGTACCTGGGGACTGGGGTATAGAAAACTCCACTTCCGGAGCCCCGACCGCCCAAGACAGCCCAAGAGGAAGCCAAGAGAGGCCTCAGAGGCCCCCTAGACAATGCAAGAGGGCCCCGAATCGCCGAAACATCGCTCGAACCGCCCAAGATGCCCCGAAGACAGTTCCAGAAACCTCCAAGACGTCCCCAGGATCCCTCACGACACTTCCCAAGAATGCCCAAAGACTGACAAATAGACCCATTCCCTTTGGAAAACGTATATGCTCTGCATATTCGTTTCTTGGGCCTTCACAATGTCCAAGACGGCTCGCTCTCAACCCCCCCGGATCGGCGGCCCTGGCCGGAGGCCAGCCCAATAATACTTAAGGCCCCCAGCCACATCCAGCCCAATGTGTCAACCAAGTCCCTCCGTCTTCCCCCAAACAGTGCTTGCACGTAGAGGCTCTTACGTGGGTCACTAGGCGTTAGATGAGTGTGTCGGGTTTTCGGCTGGTGCCCAGTTTGTGCCGCCTCGTTGCCGCCTCCTTGCCGCCTCGTGCGCTGGGTGGGTGTGTCGGGATTTCGGCTGGTGCCCGGTTGGTGCCGCCTCGTTGCCGCCTCCTTGCCGCCCCGTGCGATGGGGTGGTGTGTCCGGGTTTCGGCTGGTGCCCGGCTGGTGCCGCCTCGTTGCCGCCGCGTAAGCTGGGTGGGTATCGGGGTGTCAGCTGGTGCCCGGTTGGTGCCTGCTCGTTGCCGCATCCTTGCCGCCTCGTACGCGGGTGGGGGTGTCAGGGTTTCGGTTGGTGCTCGGTTGGTGCCGCCTCGTTGCCGCCTAGACGCCACCCCGTGCGCTGGGTGGGAGCATCGAGGTGGTGGCTGGTGCCCGGTTGGTAGCGCCCCGTTGCCGCCTCGTTGCCACCCCGTGCGCTGGATGGGTGTCGGGGTTTCGGCTGGTGCCCGGTTGGTGCCGCCTCGTTCCCGTCCCGTGCGATGGGGTGGTGCGTCGGGGTCTCGGCTGGTGCCCAGCTGGCGCCGCCTCGCTGCCGCCTCGCTACCGCCTCGTTGCCGCATCTCTCGCCAAATGGCTTGCACCACATAGCCTGCACATCCACAGTGCAACAACTTACTGTTTGGGGCCCACGCCAGCAAACATTTGCTTCCCAAGCAGACAGTGACACCAAATGCGAAAGCGGGGGAGGAAAGGTTCCACTGCCTCTGCCCCCATTGGGCGCCCTCCACCCTGCTCCCCCCCCTCCTCCCCCATCCGCCCCCCAGGCCCCCCTCCCTCCCATCCCGGGCGCCCACCGAGCGGGGTGGCGGAACCGCGCGGCAGCGCAACTGGTATTGTTCGTAGTTTCTGGGCTCCCATGGCCCTTCCATGGGCCCAAGGAGCATGAGCAGCCGATCCTGGGGAAAGCCCTGGGGTGCAGAACCCGCTATGTACTTTCCCGCATCATGCCATGGGAAGGACGAGGAGGAGACTGACGAACGGCGAATATGTCCACATCCATGTCCATGTCCTCGCCGTCTGGACGCCGAGGCGCGAACCCATGGAGACGCCGCGACCCCATTGAGACGTTCCGCATGTGGCATCCGCGCAAAGCCGTCCTGTATACATGGAGTTGCGGCCGGAAAATCTGGACCGCGAGGCCGTTGGCATGTATACGCTTCCCGCCCACGAGGGACTTGACAACCTGTCCTTTCGGGGGGCGCCCCGCCGAAGCTCTCCACACTGCTGGGGCCAGATCGCAGTGCAGACCGCGGCTGGACCCGTGCACGCTCTCTCTCAAAGCGTTAAGCCTTCCTCCACTGGTCCATCTTCTGCCACCCCGAGGAGGCGGGACGATGACGGCGACGATGACATCGTCGGCAGCCGGGGGGAAAGAGAGACCTCTGGAAACTCCTCGGCCAGCCCAGGGGGGCCGCAGACGTGCGAACCCCTGCGGCGGCGTCCCGCCAACCCCGTGCTGGGCGCAGCAGCCCCCCCAGAGGGAGGGGGGAGGAGGAGGAAAAGAAGGAGGGAGGGAGGTGGAGCAGGAGGAGGGGAGGAAGAGGATGGGGAGGGGGAGGTGCTCCTCCTCCTCACCACCACCACCACGCCTGGCCCTGCTGCTCGTCCTCCCCAGACATCCAGCGTCGCGCTTTTGCTTGCGGTGTGGCTCCACGGAGGCCTGGACGCCTGCCAGAGCACCGGGGCTCCCCTACCCGAGCCGACCCTGGGCGGCCCCAGGGCCAGGCGGGCGCCCCCTGGGGGCCGAAAGCGGCCAGCCCGCAGAGGTGATCTCGCCACGACGCGCGGGGGCTCAAGAGTCAGCCCGGGACCTCTCCTGGCACTCCGAAGGGAATCCAGCCGTGGCGACGAGGCCCCCCCAGCGAAGGCCCCAACGCATCCAAAAGCCTCTCGAGCCTCGGGCCTCGAGCCTCGAACCTCAGGAGGGGGGGGGGGTCCTTGGCAGGGGCCTCGTCGGCCATGGCGCTGGACGACACGAAGCGGGCGCGGCCCTGGGCGTCCGTGGTGGTCACCTTCTCCTGCCGCGCGAGAGGCAGGGGGCGCCACCCTCGTTGCGTCGTCGTCGTGGTGGTCGTTGTCGACGCGGTGATGGTGGATGTCGTCGCAGGGGGAATGACGCTGAGGGGAAGGAGGGGGGGGGGCAACGGCAATCCAGCCAATGTCGGTCTAGCGTAAAGAGGAGGGGGAGGAAGAGGAGGAGGAGGAGGAGGAGGAGGAGAAGGAGGAGGAGGAGGAGGTTCTGGCGGAGGGGTATGAGGGGAGGAGCCCTGACATCCTCGCGTCGTGGAAAAATGACGGCGGATTTGTTGAAGCCGAGGCTGGGTAAGGGCCTCCATGGGCCAACAAAGGGCAAACAACATTTGTTTTGCGTGTGCTGTCCACCACGGGGTCCAGGCTTCCCGCTGAGCGGCGGCAACGGGTGGGCATCCACATGTGAACCCCGCCCGTGCAGGTGAAATTCCAGAGACACCCGCGGAGGTCTGAATCTGAAGGGCGCCTGCAGTCGAGGCAATCCCAGCGCTGGTTGGACCTGCAGGGGTAGGGCTCGCAAGCGGTGCCCGGGAGAGAAGGGGGATCCCAGAGGACCGGCATTTGGCAAAAAAGACCGCAGAGCTCATCTTCCAGAAACTGCGCTTATTTTAAGACACGACTCTTGCTTCTAGTAGAAAAGCTCACGTCGTATAAGACCCAATGCTCATGTACTACAACTTAAAGCATCATTCCAGCGCTCCGATGCTAGATGTTATAGACTTCGCGCAGTTACGAAGCACGCCACAGATGTCTGCTCGCGTTCGCGCGTTGACGCGTGCTCTGGGACGGAGGGGGATAGGGGACGGAGGGCCAGCGGAGAGGCGGAGGGGGGAGGCAAGCGCCTCCATTATCCGTGCCCCTCTCCTCCCTCCTCCTCGCCTCCGCCCCCGAGGGAGCGCCCACCGCCCGCGTGCGCTGGTCCTGGCCAGGTCGCCCGGGATCGGTGCAGCACAGCGATGTTCGAAGATTTCGGCCTCTGGCCCCACTCGCTCCCAGCTCGACCGCCCTCCACCGCATGAGCACGCCCTCGCAGGTCGTGTGCAGGACGTGCGTGGAGCGACTGGGAGAGAGTGTGTGAGGCGGCGTGAGCTCACGCGCGAGCACGCCCCCCACCCAGCAGCACCCACGACGTGACGAGATGGGGCCCGAGCCCGATGTCGGGCCCCTGGTCCCATCCAAAATGAATCCAGAGCCAAACCAAAACATACCCCTGGGGAAGGGGTCGGGACCGCTGGGACCGCGCGTCGAAAAAATCGCCGTCGGAGATGGGGATCCTG